AATCGGACCTTGTATTAGATACTCTACAGAGCCGAGCGGCTCTAGTAGTAGTTCTGTGAACTGTGTACGAATAGGTGCGTTCACGACGTTGGGGTCGCGCTGGATGACTGCAGAAATGGTAGAGGCGATATGTAGGTTCGAAAGCGCCAACGAATAGGCAATCGTCCTGATTATCCCATTGGGATGGCTCGGCGCCTGGGCGTTTCTGTCGAAGAACATAAAGGCTCCGAGGCGATGGACTGCTCGAAAAGATTCGGCTATCGTTGTCGAGATTGTACTTTTCCCTGAACCTGCGACGCCGGTCAACCACAGGATGTTTCCGGATTCCGACGGGATTGTGATCCATTCCGTGATATCATCCAATATTTGGCGGCGAGTTCCCGGTAAGCACAATGAACGAGATGCGCCATCCATCTCGACCGGGTTGAGCCTTTTAAGCAAGTCTGATTGCTCTAGGAGAGTAATGAGCTTGATAAGAACATCGAGATAAGCTGCCTACCCAATGCTTCAATTTTCCCCAGCATTTTAGTGGACAAAAATAATGATTGGACCGTCAAACGACCCTCGAATGAATCCTTGAGGTTGTGCAAAACTGCGGAGAGGTCGTCTATTTTTTTCTCTGCTAGCGTCCAGCTATTCTCAATAGCGCGGCCTGGTTGGAATTTTTAATCGGCTCAGCGCAGATTGGGGAGATGCACTCCTTACGAGAGAATCCGTTGGCGGTATATTCTTGAATGAACAGCGCACATTCGACAGTCTGTTTGGCGATAGCGAGGGTCTTGAGCTCCAGGCCCTTGATTTTTTGGGGAAGAAAATCCACGTCTTCCACGAAGGAGTAAACCTCGACCATGGTCTCGACGAGCTTTGCGAGCTTAACATCTGTGTCCTTCTGCTTCTTCACAACCTGAACGTAGCTCAGCAGGTATTCGGTGAGATATAATCCGCTCAACCTTGTACACGGAAGTTAAGACTTTCCACGCGATATTGATGAAGGGCTGGATCTAGAAGTGGCGTGAGCCAGTCAGACAGTTAAAGAAAGCTTCATTACCGTGGCAAGCTCGTCTCCAATGGCAACGATGAGTTCAAGCTTAGCAGTGATGGCACTCAGTGCCGACTCGAGATCATGTTGTGTTGCCACAGATTTCGTGATTTCCATCACAGAAGACATTCCTCCGTCTTTGAGTCTGGCGAGGTTCCTCTGCGACTGCACAACAGCGGTGGCAGCGGCCTCGCTGTCGGGCATCAGGTGCACAGTAATTTTACCTGCGGGCTTGCCTTTACTCCCCTGACTTACACCTAGTAGTTCAAGTGTATAAACCGCTTTTGGAAATCAGAACATGCCAAAAAAAAAAAAGACAAAGATCTTACAAGATCCGGCGCCATCCGTGCCTGTGGAACAGTGCTGCAACAAACGAGCTATACTGGTGTCTGCAACTCCAAGACAGGTATTTCCTCCCAGAATCGAAGACTTGTGAAAAAGCCGCAGAGATATGGAGGATTCGGAATCCGACGAGCTGGCCAGCGTGTGAAACCCCGTTTTTAGGTGAATGAGTAGACGGGGCTCACATCTTTGAGAGGTGTTCCCACCTCGGTGCGAGTTCCCGGCTCATTGGGGTTCGAGTCACTTCCACACCATCCTGGTAGATCGCGACATAAAGATTCGGTGTCTTCCGGTGCAAACGGCCGGGCTTCCATGAGATTCCGTCCACGGATTGGACTACGAGGTATTGATCAACGAGAAAACAAACAATGCTTGCTGCCTTCCTTACCGAGCAAAGAGTAGGTAGACGACATGGTAGAGACAAGATCCCAGATTACGTGGTATATTGACGAGAGACCTGATGGACGCCCACGCCCAATATAAAACTGACGTGGCGGCGAAGGAGCCCAGCGCTTCGGGCGACCTGGCGCTAAAAGATGGGCGCTTCCAAAGTTCCGGTTGAAAGTCCAAAAGCAGCAAAAAAAAAGCAGAATTTGAAAGGCTTCGGGCGGAGTGTACACCGTGATTTTATGCTGGTATCAGTAAAACAACATGATTTGCTTTGGCGTCTTTGGCAAGAGGCCAAAATTACGCCCGTGGATTAACAGGCGATTGCGCGGCATTCTGTAGTTTTTCTCTCACCCTCGACTTGATTCCATCGATACACGTGCGCACTGCCTTGACGAAAAATTCGACATGAAGGTTCCTTCAAAAGAAGTGTTTGGCTGCAGCCTTTTCATGTTTGGCTGCACCGTTCCCCTCCTCAGGAGCGAATAAAATTTCCTCCAAATCGCGGATGAACGTCGTTTAATAAATGGTAGAGCTGTCCTGTTACTGGTACGATACGATACAATACAGAATAAATTACATGTGCTTCCGCTGCAGCAGCGCTGAGCGGTCCGGAGGAACATTCGAATTCATCGAGGAACGAGGATTAGACATGGCGCAGACCTGCCTCTTGCAGGTCGCGCTGTGGCTGCGGGTCCACCAGCCCATGACCGTCACGGGATGCGAGAGGTGTCGGCAAAGTAAAACGACGAGGTCGGAAGCGGGGTCGAAGGAAGGGCAGCGCTGCATTCTAAGACACAGCGGCGCAGCACGACGGGTCTCAGTCTTGTAAGAGCTTGGTGATGAGTGCACGAATGAGAGCCCTATCCCCACCCCACCCCATACCTGTTCCGATCTGGTGTGGCCTCCGAGCTCATCGAGACCAGGAAGTGAGCAAGCAGCAATCCTGCTCACCTTGACTGCCAACCCTCCCGCTCGCCTCCCACCATCCCGCACGTCTTCTGAGGCCGCCGCGCGGTCGGATCTTGCTCGCCCGTGCCGTGTCGTACGGTTTGGTTGCGGAACTGGTCGATGCATCCGCCGGGCTAGCAACACGAGGCCTCGACGATGCTCTACACACCAACGCGTCCTCATTGTCCTCCTCCTCCATCGCCATCCCACCTTTCCCACTCCTGCTCCTCTCGTCATCTCCCGCAGCGCCACGCTTGGAAATCCCACCAGACGCAACGAACAGGGTCGGGAGTGAGAATCGGGTGGCAGAACAAGACGTAGGGTATAAGCAGCGACATGATAGATGCAAAGTCCCCACGAGCGCGTCTCGGAGTCGCCGAGCGGATACACCAACGCGCGTGTGAGGCCCCGAGCGTGGTGGAGCGCGTCCGAGGAATGCGTCGAATCGTGCTCTTCTAAGAGCAGACAGCCTGAGGGATAGAGGGAAAGGGGGTAGACCCGAGATGAGTCATTGTTCTGGGAGGTACGATGCGATAGGACGTAGAATGGCGCTTGTCTGCACATGATGGATAAAGCGCACGGCTTCGAGGAAGAGTAGGCCAGGATGGCGATGGCACGAAGGAACGCGGGAAGGACGGACGTCTTGAGATCGCCTGCTCGCTCTTCTCTGTATTCCTCTATCCCCACGGGTCCGAGACGGGGGGGGCTGTCGCCGGGCATCGCCCACTGCAGTCCTGCAGAATCGGAGAACTAGTCACAGCGGCGCCTTCATCTTCATCCCCGTCCCCGTTCCATCTTGCCCGCCTGCAGGTGGGCAGGCCGCTCTCGCGCACTCATAACCCCTCTTCGTCTTCTTCTCTCCCACCTCCGTGCGCCATCGACGGACGCCCACACCTAAACTACCCGCTGCACACCGCGCGAGCCAAACTCGCCCTCCCCCTCGCTGGAGGAGAGCACTCTAGCACCGCTCGCGGAGAAGAGGCCTTAAGAGACGGGAGCGCCTCGGGGTGCGCGCGTACGGCTGGAAGGAACAAAATTGGGGGAAGGGAAGGAGGGGCACTAAGGTGCGCACCCCACGCCTTGAGGGAGTAGGTCCACGTCGGTGTTTGCGCGCATGATGTCGTGTGATGCGTTCAGAGCGACATGGGGGTCAAGGAGCGCGACGGGAAGACTCGGGGAGGAACGGGAAGTGCAGGAGCACATATATAATAAAGCCGCAGTCGGGCACCGGAAAACTACACAACTGGCCGAGACACCTGTGCGCCGAATACCTAGGGATGAATTAGCAGCCAGCGGGCTCAAGAAGCGTCAAGATCCGCACCTGACCCTAGGGCACGAAAATGCCACTTCGCCTGCACCTCACAACATCTACAAGGAACTAGATTTAAAGACTGAGCTCCTCTTAACGCCTTCACAGGTCATTTGCAGGTCATCCACCGCCATTTTTGGAATAGAACTTGCTAGCAGACGAGAACATGAGACCGGTCCGACGGCGAGTCGCTTGAGACCATGTCTGCTAATGCAACGCGATATGCGAGAGCCCTTGGGTCCGGACGGAAGAACGGACAAGTATCGGCCGCGGAGTGGGTTGATTTGGCAGCGGTCACTGAACCAAACAACGGCGGCTGCCAATTTAGGAAATATTCTATGCGACACGCCTTAATTGACATGCCAAATTCAAATGTAGCTGAGCTGTCGTGGGCCTGGGGCCACCCCCACTACGTATCGAAATAGTTGTCTACGCGATTTGCTTAGGGCAGATGGAGGTTCGATTCCTTCCGGCGGCATTTCACCAGTGTTTGATCCTTTTTGTAAAAATTTCCGTTTCATTTGACTTCCTGCATCTTTGAGTGTTGGTATCTATTTTTCCCGTGCGTGCGACTCGCGGGTTGTGGTGAAGCAACCCATGGTGGTCTTTAGTTGAGCAATGCGGGCCGTCAAATTCAGACGCACACACTCCGCACAAGCCAGAGAAAATAAGCCGTCGTGGGCCATGGAGGCCACCCCAAAGATTTGATGGGGACGTCTCTACATTTCCACAGCCTCTGAGAGTAAACGAACCTTCGATTCCTCCAGACTGCATATGCTGGCCAATTTCCATTTTCTTTCGCCACCATTTTGTTCTTCCTTTCTATTGCTGGTTCGCGACACCGCATTGCGGTTGGTGAGCTACAAGATGCAGAGGATTGTTCGAAGACTCCTCGTAGTACTGCCCCCCTCGAGGAATCGTAAATTCATCCAAGCGTAGATAATGTCTGTCTGCAGAAGCTGAACGAAACAAGCCGTCGTGGGCCATGGTGGCTGCTCCCGCAATATTGTCTGTTTGATCTAATCGACTGGGGTAGGCGGAGGTTCGATTCCTCCCGACGGCATTCGTTCGTGGTTTAGAGGATTTTTTATTTTGATCATTATTTCTTGACTTCGTGCCGGCTTCCTGCTTCAGTCCCCGAAGGTTTTTCGAGTCCGCACGACGGTGTGGTGAAATTAACTAACCAATGTCGGATAATCAACCTGGCACCGTAAACTCAATCGCCCGTAATCTCTGCACAAGCTAGATGAAATCAGCCACTGAGCGGCAAAATTAGATGGAACCTGACATGAGGCATACCGAGGTTTGATTTCTCCGAGCAGTATACGATTAAGACTCTCCTTTTTTTTTTTTTTTTGTGGTCGCCTTGCTTCAGAAATTTTCCTTCATATTTTGCCGCATGACATTGCGAACGTCCTAGAATGCCCTGCCAGTCTGTTGTTCTTTCATCCAAATATGATCCCAGGACAGAGTGAAGAAAGCCGTCGTGGGCCAATATGGCCGCTCCCACAATTGCCCATTACGACGATGTGCCTGTGGACATGGGGGTTCGATTCCTTCCGACGGCACAGGTTGCTGGCATCGTTTATTTTTTTTGTCTGTTCAATTCTGTCTAGCTCCGCTTGATTCGACCTCCTTCATTTTATATTCTGACAATCCGCGGCACGCTGTGAAGCTCCACAATGCCACACGCTCGGCAGGATTCAGACTGCTGCCGAACAAATTTAAGCGCACACCGGCTGGGAAATAAATAGGCGGTCGTTAGCCAAGGAGGCGTCCCGACGAAATGGTAGCTCGATTGCTTTTGAGTCCGCACGAGGTTGCGGTGGCGGTTGGGAAGCCGCAGAAAATAGGGCGGCACAGAGCTCGTGTCTCCTCGCAGAGATGGTAAGTCCAATGCCCAGCGCACTTGATTTTTCCACACGCTTGATACACAAGGTGGATGCATTCTTGTCCCTGAGCGGCCATCTATTATGATGATCTAACTGTCACATAGCATCGTGAAAGATGGTTTCCACGGAATGCTGCCAGCATTGGGCGGGACTCTATCAAAGACGTAATGCATACAAAAAGATCTTCCCGCAGCTGTATCTCAAGGCTGAGATCTACACCGCCTTCTACCTACATAATCCCACTCTGATCGCATCCTCATGTCATGAATCCCCTCGCTCTTCTTTTTCATCCTCACCTTAGAGTTTATATCCTTCGCCTTCTTCTGCTGGCAGATGTTGTACTGATTGTCCTGCTTGGTCTCTCTGTCCCCCAAGTGGATAACGGCGACCCAGACTCCCCAAATCAGGGGCCGTCAGTGCTAGCGGGGTTCGTATGTGCCGTCACAATTTTGGTGCATCACGCTCTCGTGTGAATATTCTCATTTGCTGTTAAACTTACAGTCGCTGACTCGCAGAATTGTAGGGTATTCAAATGGCGAATGAGCGGTCTCGCCATCGTTGACCTTTTGGCAGTCTTGGCAGAAATCAGTAGTGAGTCATAGAATTGAACTCGGCCTCCTTGTCCACTCAAAACTTGAAATTCGTTAGTTCTCTCATACTCGAGAGCAAATTATCAGGATCTGGGTCTTATCATCACTTCCCAACTCATAACATTCGACGTTGTCACCTTCGTGCATATATTCGCCATCGTTGAGATAGTGATCTTGGTGGTGTCTGCAGTTTTTAGAATCTCCACCATCATGCGAACACACGAGGGATTCTTGCGCCAGCGGCTCGTATTCCTTGGTTGCTGTACCCCATCGCATCCGCCGTACACGCCAACCTCCATCTTTCTGAATCGCTCCTTGGCCAGGCCCCTAGTGCGGTACGCGATGACCGGTGTTCCGGGGGACCTTCTCAGTCTAATAAACTCTCGCAGGGGTGAGTCAAAACTCGTCATCGTCGCAAGGGCTTTAGTTATCAGCTGCCTTGGAATAATCGTACCCGCGTTCGGGCTCTATTCCATTCTACTCCTGCCTGCGCAATCGGAAGTCTACACGAAATTAATCGCCTCTTCGGCACTCATCGAGCAGAGTGAACTTCCGGGACTTCTTGAGGGGCAGGCATCCTTAACTTTAGTATGAAGATTTAATCACGCTCTTTTTTTTCTGATATACCTTGTTACAGGCACAGTTCAATTCCTCAGCTTTGAACGTCACAGATGTCACTATGACAAAATTCGGGTCATCCAACCCAACGCAGTGCTTGACCACAGTTGACTCGTTCGACAAGTCGTTCCTCCGTGTACAATGTACATCACTCATATTCCTCGTGGATTTGCCCAGAATAACTTTCTCATAGGCTCGGTGGGATGGTTAGAAATCAACAGCATGTCAATTTCCCTGTCAGTTTCACCTGGCCCGAGAGGTGGTGCACTTCTCTATATGGCGCCGTGGTATTCGGACGTAGGGTTCATCAATTGGCTTGATGTGCAAGCCTTCGATCCAGACTATAGGACTTTGGAGGTTGTTCCTACAGTTCTTCTCGCGGGATCTGCCCGATTCGGGGTAATAACCTGGACCGCCCGCCGGCGTCGCGGTTTACGATCCGTATGTGACTTCTTCCGGTTCGTGGCTGTAATGACAATCTCCGACTGCAGGCATGGCAGTATGAACCGGAAATCATGGACTTGCAAACCGATCCGGCGGTCGAGCTTCTGTCGCCGAACAGCGCTGTACTCACTTTGTATCAGGCGTCAACCAGCCCCCGAAGAATTGTGGAAGACGTCTCAGATGCTTCTGTCATATCAGGCATTTCAAGCCTTGGTGGTTTCTGGACGTTCGTCAACGGTGCCTTCGCTCTGGTATTCGGTGCTAATATTATTTATTTCGCCTTCGGTGAGTACCATTATTGGGCCCTTTATAACGGTCTCACATACACATCCCCTGGCTAGGCCGCAAGCCGCTCTCTGCCCTGGGTGTAATCCACCTCTTTCAACGCCGCGGACTGATTCGTCAGTGGCACCAGGACTTTCCGGCGCTCCATACCGAAGGAGGGCTACCTGGTTCCGAGTCTGCCGGAATCGTAGCGTTCATCAGGGAGCGTATGGTAGACGTGACGGACCCTGGAGCCACAGAGGATGGGAATGAGGGGGAAATGACGGAGAGTGGCGGTAGTTTGACCTCCGGATTAGCATCACAGGTGGAAACAACGCTCAGCAATGACGACCCCCAGGGAAGCCTTGAGAGTTTACCGGCTCGGTATCTGACGAAGCAGTCTGGATTTATTCTGGATGAAATACATGTATAATTAATTTCAAAAGAAGTGTTTGGCTGCACTGCACCGTTAGGCCAAGCTCCTACATCACCGAAACTTCAAGTGCTTATTCCGCAGCAAAATCGCAGATGGACGTCGTTTAATAAATAGAGCTGGTCTTTCACCGCCGGTGCGATACGATGCAGAATAAATACATCCATATTAAATGCGGTGAGCGGCGGGGTAGCCGGCGGGGATGAGGCCGAGGCGAAAGTGTAGGGTGCAAACTATGACGGGGTAGGAAAAGACTATCGCAGACTGGACATTGGGGGCGTCAAAGTAAATGCAGCGCTGCATTCTGAGACACAGCGGCACAGCACGACGCGTCGGACGCCTCGTCCCAGTCCTGAAGACGCATTGCTTGCTTGACAACGGACGCACGAAGGACATTTCCATCTCCACCCCATCTCTATGGCTATTTGGCGTGTCCCAGAGGCTCGACGAATGCCCGCGCGGCGCACATCGTACGGCGTACACTCCGCACTCTTCGGGATCGCGAGCTGAATATATATCTGTTCGCCAATCTCTCTGCCTTGGCTGCTTCGCGAAGAGCCCTCCATGCGCGCATCGCACTTCTGAGGCCATTCCTGCGCGGTCGGATCCCGCTCACTCGCCCATGCCGTGCCGTGCGGGGGCGGTCGATGCATCCGCTGAGCCAGTGACCCGAGCGCGCTACCCTTGGGCCTCTGAGGTCTCGACGCGCCGCGCCACTGGCGCAGGCGCTCGGGGTGAATCCCCTGCCCGGTTTCATGCAACACCAACGCGTCCATCTCCTCCTTGGAGTCCTTCTCAATCGCCATCCCCCCTTTCCCACCCACTCACCACTCCCGGTGCCCTCGTCATCACTTGCAGCGCCATGTTTGGAAATCCCACCAGCCGGAACGGAACAGGGACTTGAGAATCGGGAGGACAAGACGTAGGGTATAAGCAGCGACAGGATAGAAAGTCCAAGCGACGCCGACGTCATGCCCGCGCGTCGCCGAGTCGTGGAGCAGATTCACCAGCCCAATGACACGCACGTGTGAGGCCGAGCGGCGGTGCATTCCGTCCGAGGAACAGCGTCGCATCGTGCCAGAAGAGGAGACAGGGACGGAGGATAGGCCAAGAGATCGCCAGCGACCGCCTCCCTCATCTCCGTATTCCTCCATCTCCATCGCCTACGAATGGCCGCTTGCCGCAGCCGCGCCATTATTTCGATACATGCGTGAACTCCATCTTTCCTGCGGGTGCGGGGGCCACTCTCGTTAAGCCCTCTTCGTCTTCTCTCACACCTCCGTGCGCCATCAGCGCGCGCCCGCACCTCCACACACCAGCACCCGCTGCACACCGCGCGAGTCAGACTCGCCCTCCCCGTCGCTGGAGTAACAAACGGGAGCGCCTCGAAGTGCGCGCGTACGGCTGGAAGGAACGAAATTGGGGGAAGGGAAGGAAGGGGAGTGACGCATCGAGATCTGGGGGAGGTACGCACCCCCACGCCTTGAGGAAGTAGGTACATGTCGGTGTTTGAAGAGCTTTGGAGTGCGCATGACTTCATCGTGTGGCGCGTTTGGAGTCGGGGAGCGCGACGAGAAGACTCAGGGAGGAATGAGAGGCGACAGCGCAGGAGCACGTAATCAGGGTCTAGAGCATGTGTATCCACATCGTACGCACGCACGCCTAGCCGAAAGGCTTTTGGAAAACATGGGGTGTGAAGTCCCTGGCTGGGGGCTGCTCATAGGTGGCCAGGAAGACGGGTGGTGTGTGCCCACGTCGTGCCCGCGCACGCCTGGCCTCAAGGTCGGAACATCCGAGCTGTGAAGGAAAAATAAGTCGTGAT